AGACAACACTGAACGTAATGAAGACATCAATGAAGGCTTCAGCAGCCAATAAGCTGAGGCAGGGGAAGGAGCAGGCAGTTATGGAAGTGGAAAAGAGGCAGTTTCAGTGATGGCAAAGGTGGAAATGTCAAATATGACACCAAACAGTTCAGTTCAGCCTCAATAAAAACCGAAAGAACTGTGGACGCTGGAAATCTGAAACAAAAACAGAAATTGCCAGAATACATCAGCAGGTCTGGCAGCAACTGTGGAGAGAAATCAGAGTTAATGTTTCGTGTTCAGTGTACCTTCCTCAGAACTCTGATTTCTCTCCACAGATACTGCCAGACTTACAGTCATAGAGTCATAGAGATATACAGCATGGAAACAGACCCTTTGGTCCAACTCATCCATGCCAACCAGATATCCTACATAAATCTAGTCCCATTTGCCAGCATTTGGCCCATATCCCTCCAAATTCTTCCTATTCATGTGCCCATCCAGATGGCTTTTAAGTGTTGTAATTGTACCAGCCTCCACCACTTCCTCTGGCAGCTCATTCCATACACGCACCACCCTCTGCATGAAATTGCTGGGCTTTTCCATCAATTTCTGTTTTGGTTCAGCCTAAGGTAGGAGCCAGGGTGAGGGCTGGAGTCAGTAACTAGGGAGCTGTATTTGCAGCAAGAAAATAGCTTCAGTCCTCCCAACATCTAATCAGAGGAAATCTCTGCGCATGTCAGATAAACTGTCTAACAATGTAGGGCAGCATGGTGGCTCAGTGGTTAGCAGGTACCTGGGTTTGATTCCACCCTTGGGTGACTGTCTGTGTGAAGTTTGCACGTTCTCCCTATGTCTGCTTGGGTTTCCTCCGGGTGCTCCAGTTTCCTCCCACAGTCCAAAGATGTGCAGGCTAGGTGGTCTGGCTGTATTAAATTGCTCCGTAGTGTCCAGGGATATGCAGGCTATGTGGGTTAGCCATGGGAAATGCAGGGCCACAGGGATGGAGTGGGTCTGGCTGGGATGCTCTTTTGAGGGTTGGCTGAATACCTGCTTTCACATTGTAGGGATTCTATGAATTAGATAATAAGGAGCTGAAAGAAATTGTAATGAGATAAAGTTTGGATGCCATTTAGGTGTATGTAAAACTTAACATTGATCATGCAAAGTCACAAAGGGACAGCAAATAGATGAGAAATAGGAGAGATGCTTGGGAGACGCCAGAGGTAACAGTGTGAGAATGGGAAGAGCATTTCCAAATTATTGAGGGGTAAGAAATAAACACAATAGCTGTCACACATTGAGCTTCATTTAAGAGGATATTAAACTGTTTGGTTTAACAAAATGTTGTATTTTGCTCAATGATTCAATCCAATTTTTTTTCAGATTTTGACAATTTTATTGCTAGTCCCTTGCTACATTTTGAAACAACTGGTAAGGGATGGTCCATGATTATTAGAAGGGCTAAAGGTTGGTAAGTTCCCTGGATCTGAAGGGATGCATTCCAGGACATTAAAGGAAGTAGCTACAGAGATAACAGATGTAGTGGTAGTAATCTTCCAGGTATCCTTAAACTCAGGAAAAGTCTCAGCGGATTGGAAAACTGCTAATGTATCACCTTTATTTATAAAAGGAAGGAGACGGACAATAGGTAACTATAAGCCAGTTAGTTTTTCGTCTGTTATTGGGAAATTGGTGGAGTCTATTATAAAGGATAGAAGAGCAAAGCATTTAGAAATACATGATATGGTCAAGCAGAGTCAGCTTGGCTTCAGGAAGTTATTAAAATTCTTTTGAGGAGGTAACATGCAGGATTGATAAAGGGTAACTAGTTGATGTAAAATATTTGGACTTCCCAAAGACATTTGATAAGGTACCACACATTAGGCTACTTAATAAAGTAAGTGCCCATGGTGTTGGAGTTGATTTTAGCATAGAAAGGGGAATATGAAGAGCATAGATAAGGTGAATTTGGTGTATTTTCCATAGGATGAGGTGTTTAAAACTAGGGGGCATATTTTGAAGGTGAGAGGAGAAAGATTCAAAAAGGACCTGAAGAGCAAAGTTTTCACATAGAGGGTGGTGGATATGTGGAATGAACTGCCAGAGGAAGTGGTAGATGCAGGTGCAGTTACATTTAGAAAACATCTGGACAGGTAATGATTAGGAAAGGTTTAGAGGGATATGAACCAAACACAGACAAGAGGGACTAGTTTAGTTTGGGAAACTTGGTTGGCACGGACTAGTTGGACCAAAGGGTCTGTTTTCATGCTGTATGAATCTATAAGTTTATGATTCTATGAGGAGAGGTTGAGTAAGTTGGGCCTGTTCTCAATGGAGTTTAGAAGAATGAGAGATGACCTCATTGAAATATGTAAGATTTTTAGGGGACTCGACAAGGTAGATGTGGCGAGGTTCATTCCCTATTTGTAGGATCAGTGGGCAAAATGTCACAATAAGGGATTGTCCACTGAGACAGAGATGAGGAGCAACGTTTTGTCTCAGAGGACAGCGAATCTGTGGAATTCATTACCTCAGAGGGCTGTTGAGGTTGGGTCATTAAGTGTATTCAAGGCTGAGATAGACGGATTTTTAATCAGTAGGGGAATCGAGGGTTACGGGGAAAAGGCAAGAAGGTGGAGTTGAGGATTAGCAGATCAGCCTTGATCTCATTGAATGGTACAGCAGACTCAATGGGCTGAGTAGCCTACTTCTGACCCTACGTCTTATGGTTTAAAAGAAGTCATTCATGGGGAATCTCTGGCCACCAGTAGACAGCTAAGAATGGAACCGGCTGAGAGCAGCCCCACTCAGTAAAGTTTCTTTGTGTTTAGGTGATTTGTGAACTGGGGTTACTCTGTGTCTGAACCATATGTGATCTTAAACCTGGGCAAAAATACATGCAGTCTCACTCTGCATTGTCCACATTGTATTTCATTTAGGAGGGTATTGAACTGTTTGGTTTAATAAAGAAAAGTAGTCTTTGTTCAGTGGTTCAATCCTGTTTTTAATTAAATTTTGAGAGCTTTGTTAGTTCATTGATAGATTTTGAAGCTAAATGGCAAGGATGGTCTATGACTATTAGAAGGTAATAGTCACTTGGCAGGACAGAATGTGAGTATTTCTGAAAAATAACCTCGCTGTCAAACCTTTCGTCTTGCACTCATCAGCACATAATTGCAAAATTACCAAATTGCAAAGGGAACAACAATTTATACTTCATCAGAAGAGGGTGGAGAATGGTTGACAAGTGAATCTAATTGTTGCCTTCGAGAATTGTCCAGGAAGCAGTTAACCTCCTCCAAGCTTTTGTTTAAATGCAAAGCTGAGTCAACTCTGATTGATCAAGCATTCAACAGGAACACACCAGGAAGGACTGTCCCCGAGCTTTAGTGCAGTTTGAGGACATGTTCTTTCTCGGAAAGGACAGAGTCCTGATTGTGAACATACTTTTCTTACCAGCACACAGGTTAGTCACACTGTGAGCCCAACTGATAATCTTCAATTGGCTGTTGGTGTAATTCTCAGCACAATTGGAGTTACTTCTTATTTTGTTTATTTATTATCAGTTACTTATTTAGTTTATGATTAAGTCATTAAAACTCTGCAGGAAGTGTTTGCAACTGTCAGAATTGTTTGCAATTCCAGCACCTATATCCTGACAAAAAATGGTCTGGGTTTAGAAGAGTAGACAGGTCAGAAAGATAGTTTTTCTGTGGAGAAATAAAACCAGAGGTCATCTTTTTATTTTGGGATGCATCCGGAATGGTGATCAGTTCTGACACAGAACTCGACAGGGCCTTCCATCTCACCTCTGAAGGATCCAATCCACCAAATGACCAACTGTACCATCAGGAAATGCAGCCCTTTATCCCTCTCACCCTAGCCACATGGTGAAAGGGCAGTATCTAACGCATTAAAACAATCAATCCCTCAACAAGAAAAGGTAAAGTCACTGTGTTCTACCTGGGTAATGGGGCTGCTCTTTCATTAGAAATGGAGAGAGACACACTGATGGTGGTTTAACTGGAGGGTCACCATACATCAGGTGAGTGAGTGAGGTTGAAAAGGACAGTCCTTCAGTCAGTGTGGGAATTGAACCCATGAGGTTGATATTGTTCTGCGTTGCAAAGTAAGCTAACCAGCACCACCACCCCCTCCAGCCCCCAACCCCTCAACAACACAGTGGCTCAGTGGTTAGCACGTTGCCAGGGACCGGGATCAATCCCACCCTCAGGGGGCTGTCCGTGTGGAGTCTGCACATTCTCCCCGAGTTTGCATGGGTTTCCTCTGGGTGCTCCGGTTACCACTCACAGTCCAAAGATGTGCAGGTTAGATAGATTGGCCATGTTAAGTTGCCTGTAGTGTTCAGGAATGAACAGGCTAGGTGGGTTAGCCACAGGAAATGCAGGGTTATGGTGATAAGGGAAGTGGGTGGGTCTGGGTACAATGGTTTTTTGAAGGGTCAGTACAGACTCGCATTGTACTGCACTGTAGCGGTTCTATGAACATGAGCTCTTAGAAGCCTGTCTATATCATGAGAACTGGTGAACATTCTGGGAGGAGGTGGGTTGGATCTCTGTCTGGTATCTGAGTCAAAACGCAGTGCCAACTGAACAGGGTAAAGTTTCCACCATCTAATGACTGTGAGAGTCCCGTGTAATATGGGGAGGCAAGGCTCAAACCAATCATGGAGAGCATGGGTCTCCAGTAAGATAGTGCCTGTGCTCTATACAGTCACCCTGAGGGACCACGTGAGGCAAGTGTGAGGGGAAAATGGGCAGTGGATCATGTTACTCCAAGGTTTGGGGTGAAGGCATGCGAAAGAATTGGACTTTGTGTCTGTCAGGGCTGCTTGGTGCCACACAGGGGTAAGGGGCTTACTCATCATTACACAGCACCGCTTTCAAATACAGGGGTTCGAATCGGTGGGATGTGAGCAAAATACCGGAGTTAAAACCAGGAATCTGTTCTATTTACCACCACCTTTTCAGGCAAAAAAAAATCACAAAGAATTTATATTTTATAAAGGTTCAAAGTTTAATGCATCTTGGGTTCCATTTTCTTTCTCCGACAATACTTTAAGGCCCACATACCTGGGCACTTATCTATTCTGTACATGTAGCTTTAATAATTACACCATAAATATTATGGAAAGTTTTTTTTGTGCAAGTTCAGGACATCTCCATCAGTAGTAAACGCAGTGTGCACAGTCAGCTCCTGCCACTTTTATGGTCAGGAAGTTGTTGGCACAGGGCTCCTGTGTCCCCATCCCCAGCCCTTTCCAATTATTAGTGCTTACACTCGAGCGCAGTGTTCACACACCACAGTGTGACCATTGCCAAATCCGCAGGCGGTGCCCCACCTTAGCATGGCTGCACCCGGGGAGGCAGTAGGCACCACTCCCCACATTAGCAGCGTGACACGCAGTTTCCCAATGCATTGTCAGTGTCCGCAATGGGCTCCTTGAGCTGGCACAGACCCCGACTAATATTCAGCCCCCGACCCGCATTTGGCTTTCACGTACTTGGGCAACAACTTGGAACTCAAAGAGAGTAGAACCATCATGCAGACAGTGAGGATGCACAGAATTGTGGGCAGCAACAACAAGAAATACTTTAAAACAGTGTTATCAAATTTGCAGTTAGCTTTGGTAGACTGGGAAATCCTATCGATGTGCTCCAGTTTGAAAGACGTGTTGCAAGTGACTAAGGATCTGTCAGGAATGGTCAGTGACTCGGCTTTGATGAGGAAGGTCCACCATTTCAACTGGCAACAGTCAAAGGCATTGCCACTCAGGTAGAGAGTTTGAAGACTTTGCAACAGGCTCTGCAGAACGTCCTGTTGAAGCACAGACAGTCTGTTCTTCCGTAGGTCCAGCGATCTTAGGGGAAGGGTTTTGAGGATGGGATGAAGACTCGTTATGGAATTTTCAGACAAGTCCAAAGTCTTCAGATCGCTGAAAGTCACTTGCAGCCCAGAACCTATTTGGTCAGAGTCTAATCCATTGTTCCTCAGAGATAAGGATTGCAACGACTTGGCCACGGCTCGAAACATGCTCACCTCCAATCGGATTCCAGCATTGGATGATAAATCCAAATGGGTTAAGGGCGAGCCAACAAAAGCATTGGCGGGTAGTGTGGCCAAGTCACAGTCAGAGAGATAAAGTTGCCTCAACGATTTGATCTGTGCCAATGCAGCACAACCTCTGCCCAAAGTCCTTCTCCTATTTCCTAAAGGGTAGTCACAAACAGAGACCCTGTTGTGACTGAGGTCTAAAGTTGTAATCCAAGGCATCTTTGTAAAAAGATCTGACGGCACCGATTCCAAATTGTTGAAGCTGAGATTGAAATAGTTTAGGTTCCACAGCCTGCTGATATTGAAATTTAACTGGGACAACTGGTTATGACTGAGATCGATCGCCTGAAGAAAGAGGAGAGAATCTTGCTCTGTTAGAGAGAAGGTCCTTAAACAGTTCTGGTCGAGTAGCAGAGCTGACAGCGAGGTTATTCCTCGGAGAAATCCAGGAGGGAGATATCGAACTGAATTCCGGCTCATATCCAGCAACTGCAGTTCAGGCAAATTTAAGGAAATTACCTCGTCCCATAGATTTATGGAAGTAACATTGGTCACATTTCCAACTATTTGGACGAACTGGACCTCAGAAGATGAGTCGTTTGCCAGGTCATTGTAAAAATTCATCTCATTGTCCGCCAGCAACAGCAATTTGAGCTTGTTGTGTTTGGGTAGGAGTGGGAAAAACAGCAGTTTGTTATTGGACAGGTCCAGAGTTTCCAGTTGGAATTCAGTCTCGCTCTCTCTGGCTAAAAACAGTTCCACCACATTGTGAGTAATATTTAATGTTTTCACTTGGTACAAGCTGAAATCTACAATGCACGGGATGTGATTGTGGGCAAGGTTCAACCTGGTTAGGCTTTTCAAATCTTCAAATGTCCCGCTTTCAATTTCATAGATATAATTGCTCTCCAGGTTTAATTCTCGAAGTTGGGCAAGGCCCTCCAGTGTGCTTGGTTCCAATCTCATGATGAAATTTCTGGCCAGAGATAGATATTCAAGTGTGGTCAGATTTTGTACAATATCGCTCACTGCAACTTCGCTGAGTCTATTCCCAGATAAATCCAGGCTAGTTAAAGCTGAGAGGTTTCTTAGTGCCAGTCGAGTCTTTGTGTAGTTTATATCAATCCGGTTGTTCATTAGGTTCAAATTTTGTAGGTTCTTGTTGTGGGAGAAGGCTGCAGGTTCAATGAGTTCAAGCTGATTCCCACTCAGGTCCAGTGTATGCAGATGCCTGTATGCAGACAATGAATTATTGTGTATTGCTTTAATTCCATTTCCATTGAGAAGGAGCTCTTTGGTTTTTAAGGGCAGACCTTCTGGCACATGATTAAACCTGCGCTCCTTACAGAATGCCACCATGTCAACCTACAACAGAAACAGGGAACTTAACATTACTCATGCTACTCAGGTACCATCAAAAACATACAATCAAACAGCTCAGAAGAGAGGCTGTTACAAAAACTGAGACATTTACAACAGAGAAGGTCTCTCTCCTCTGCTGGCTCTTAGAAAGTGCTGATCAATTTAGTCCACTCCATTTTTTTTGTCCCCATAACTTTCAGAATTAATTCAATCACCAATTGCCTCCAGTTCCACTGACATTTCATTCCAGCTCCAATCAGGTATTCCATTATAGATTATAACAAGATATACCTACGTCTCTCCTCATTGCCCCTTCTACTTAATTTTGTCTATCATTTTAAATCTCTGATGTCTGGTTACTGGCCCACTTGCCAAAGGAAACAAGGTAGACAAACAGGAGGCTAGAAGAACTCAGCAAGCCAGGCAGCATCCTGAGGAAAGGAGCAGTCAACCTTTCGGGTATTAGAAGGGTAATATCTGAAACGTTGTCTGCTCCTTTCCCCCCCAGATGCTGCCTGGCTTGCTGTGTTCTTCCAGCCTCCTGTTTGTCTATCTTGGATTCCAGCATCTGCAGTTTTTTTGTCTCCTGCCAAAAGGAAGCAGTTGCTCGAGCAGGCCCCTTGGTATTAGGCAGCACAGTAGCTCAGGGGTTAGCACAGCTGCCTCGCAGCGCTAGGGACCCAGATTTGATTCCACCCTTGGGCGACTGTCCATGTGGAGTTTCTACGTTCAGCGTGGGTTTCTTCTGGGTCCTCTGGTTTCCTTCCACAGTCTAAAAATGTGCAGGTTAGGTAGTTAGGCTATGCTAAATCGCCCGTTGTGTTCAGGGATGCACACGCTATGTGGGTTAGCCAAGGGGAATGCAGGTTACAGGGAGAGGGCAGGGGGTTGGGTCTGGGTTGGATGCTCTTCATAGAGTCAGTGTGGACTTGATGGGTTGAATGGCCTGCTTCCACATTCTATGATTGTACTTTGGACAATTTCTGTTCAATACAACCATAACCATAACCATCTCCACTCCAGGGGGAACAGACCTCATTTCTTCAGTCTGTCTCTCTCTCCCTCTCTCTATAGAATTGATCACTCCTGCTACCATCCTGGTTAAATGTTCCTCTGTATTTCTCACTGGACTGGTTATCTTTCCTCACATGTGGATTTCAGAAATGTACAGCGTATTTCCAGCTGAGGCCCAAACAGGAATTTTAAAAGTTTAGCTAAACCTGCTGGTTTTGTTTTGATTCAACTCCCTATTTACAAAACCAAGTATTTTATATGTTCTTTTAACTGCCTTAATAACTTACCCTGTCATTTCCAAGAACCACAACCTCTGATCTCTCTCCATTGCATTTCTCTTGAGATAGTACATCTTGGATCATATGGTCTCCCCAAAGGCCTACACATTCTCCTTTTTAAAGTATTTATCTTTCCTTTTTTAAAAATCTCCTTTTAAAAGTTACTATTGAGTCAGATACCACCTTTGAGCAAGTGCATTCTAGATTATAGGTCACTAAGAAAAACAAATTTCATCGTGGTTTGATACTTTGTGCAAGTACCGCCCCAATCAAGGGAGTTGGGTGAATGCTGTAGGGACAGGAGGTTGAATCCTACCACAGCAGATTAAATTCAATAAAAATCAGGAATCAATAGCTGGCCTGACATGGTCCATGTAATCACTGTTGATTGTCATAAAAGAACACTTACAGATGGAAATCTGCTGTCCTTACCTGGTCTGGCCTACATGTGACTCCAGACCCGCAACAATGTGGCTGACTCTTAACTTCCCCCTGAAATGGCCTAGACAGCCAATCAGTTCAAAGGCAACTAGGGATGGGCAATAAATGTCAATGGAGCCCCCATTCCATGAAAGAAATAAACAGAACAAAATCTCCACTCCTGAGTTCTTGGGTCATCTTGGATGTCTCATGGGTTTAATGGCGAATTCTTGCAAACTGCTGTTTTTGCAGCCAACAATCAGTCCTTTGTAAGCTTCTGTCTGACAAAGACATTGGGTCAGATTGGGGCTCACCAGCCCTGGGTGGTATCTTAAACAGCTAACAGGAAACAATCTCGATGGTGGGCCCAAGTTTGTTGTAAGGGGCTGGTGTGGTGTGTCTACAACAGGGGCAGCAGCTCTCCCATACCGAGAGGTTAACGGAGGGCAAGGGTGAGTAGGCCTGAGTGGCAATCATTCTCGGACTAGCCAGGAGATGGCGGTCACTAACAGGGACTCGAGTTGTTTCCGCGCAACGGGTACTCCCAGCAACGCTGGGCTCAACTTGGGCTGACAATGTGTGGAGGGTGGGTTGTGCCAGGAGGACCAGCGAAACATACTGGCAAGGTGCCCAAATCACCAGTTACCAACCACAGTGAGAGCGCCAATCTGCATTGCCAACAAGGCTCTGAGTCCGTCGCTCCTGCCACTTTGAGCCAGTCCCTTCCTGTTTCGACCAGTCGAGGTGGGCCTCAAACCGACCACCTCCGCCCCCCCAACACCCTCCGATTCCCCTTCCCTACCCCCCAACCCTCACCCAAATCCCCTGCTAACTCTTGCTGCTGTACAAAATACGACTTTGCAATTTATAATTTATTTTGTAACCGGCTGTGACCAGCTTTGTGAGAGAATTTTCATAGAAAAGAACAGGGTGAAGGAGGGTGGCCACAGATGGCCGCATGAGGATAAGAAATAGGCTCTGCAGTAGGCCATTCGGCTCTTTGATTCTGTTCTGTTATTCAACACAATCATTTGGTGATCTTCTATCTCAATTCCAGCACAATACCACCATATCATTGTTCACATCTTGAAGGGGTTGGGGGTGGAGTGGGAAACCACAAAATGAAACTCCTGAATGTAAATGAGCAAAAAACGCTGTCTTCACAATGCTACACACTGCTGCTGAGCTGGTATACCAAAAAAAAGGCAGATTTCAGCAATGTGTTCACACACTTTCTCCACAGAGAGAATGTGGAACCACTACGTTGGGCGTTGCTGTTAAAATAAAACATAAGTGTGCAGCCGTGTAAGTGTGTGAAAAAAAAAGAGGTGTGAGATATCAGATCGCAATTTCATGAACCTGTAAGGTGTGAAACAATTTGTCTGTTTTCTCAGCAAACAGGGGACATGTTGCACAGACTGCATCCTGCTGGGTGTAAACGGTTAGAGGGTAAAGGAACAGGCACACTGAGCTCCTCTTCTGCAAGAAGACAAGATGCAAAGTAAAAGCAGAAGTTGCTGGAGAAACTCAGCAGGTCTGGCAGCATCCGTGGAGAGAAAGCAGAGTTAACGTTTCGAGTTCGGTGACTCTTCATCTGAAATGTTAGCAGCTAGGAGCCCAGACAGAGAGAGAGAGAGAGTGAGAACTATGAAAGGGGTAGGTAAACAAGGAGATTATGGATAGCAGGCCAGCTCAGATGGAAAACTGAATGAGAGACAAGAGTGAGAAAATGGGTTAGCTGTGCAGGAAGCAACTCATACAAAGTGATGACGGGCCTTGGAATACGTGGGAATGGGAGACTGTACTAAAAACGACTGTCATGACAGAACCAAGGTGTGGGGAAAGTTAAAAAACAAGGAAGGATGGAATGAGGCTTTAAAGTTATTGAACTTGATGTTGAGTTCTAGAGGCTGTAGGGTCCCGAAGAAGAAAGTGAGATGCTGTTCTGGAGCACTGCAGCAAACTCGAGACAGAGATATTGGCCAGGGAACATAGTGGTGTATCGAAGTGGCAGGAAACTGGAAGCTAAGGGTTATATTTGCGGACAGAAATAGGTGTTCTGCAAAGCGGTCACCCAGTCTGCGTTGCGTCTTCCCAACGTGGAGGAGACCACATCGTGCAATGAATACAGTCAACTAGATTGTGCAAAGTGTAGCGCTGCTTCACCTGGAAGGTGTGTCTGGGCCTTTGGGTACCGAGCAGGGAGGAAGTAAATAGGCAGGTGTTACACCTTTTGTGGTTGTAGGGGAAGGTACCGGGGGTGTTGTTGGGAGTGAAGGAAGAGTGGACCAGGGTGTCCCGGACGGAATGGTCCCTGCAGAAGACTGACAAGGGAGGGGAGGGGAATATGTGTCTGGTGGTGGCATCTTGCTGGAGGCGACAGAAATAGCAAAAGCATCCTCTGAATGTGAATGCTGGTGGGATAGTAAGCGACAACCAGAGGGACCCCATCACTATGAGGGTACAATTGTGGGAGATGGGGTCAGACAGCACTAAGGGCCCTGTTTACCATGGTGCTGGGGAATCTTCGGTTGAGGAAAAAGGTGGAAGTTTCTGAGGCCTAACTGTGGAAAGGTGGCATATTCAGGACAGATGTGAAAGAGACAGAGAAACTGGGAGAATGGAATAGAGTCTTTACAGGAAGCATTGTGTGAGGATGGACAGTCCAGGTAGCTATGGGAGTCGGTGAGTTCATTGTGAATATTGGTGCCCAGCCTATCCCCAAAAATGCAAACAGAGATATCGAGGAAAGGAAGGGAAGAGTCGGAGATGGACCATGATGGAAATTGGAAGCAAAATTGATAACTTTTCCAATTCTGGATGAGAGAGGGAAGCAGCACCAATGATGTCATTGACATACTGGAGAAAGAATTGTCAGGAGGTACCTGACTAAGATTGGAACAAGGAATGTTTCACATACCCCACAAACAGACATGTATAACTGGGTTCCAGGTGGCTACCCATGGCCTCAGGATGCATTTGGGTAATAAAGAGGAGTCAGTCTAAGTAAAGTATTAGAGCACTCCCGTGATGTTCTGAAATGCAGCTTTTTTTTGCATTATACTGTGAATGTAGGTTGTAATGGTTAAATCCGGATCACAATTCTGGTTTTAACATGCTCCTATAAGGTGCATTTTCAATCGCACATGCACAAAAAGTGGGACGGGGGGCATCTAGGCTACCTCCTACTCATCCATCCCCGGGAATGCCCCACCCCTCCCTGAAATGGGGGTTTCAGGGTGCAGAAATCGGCAGTCCACCACATTTAAACAAATAATTAAGGGTCAATTAACATCAATACCACCCTATAACATGGTTGACATGGGCAGGTTATTTGGGAGCAGGCAATTCTTCTTTTCAACAAGTTTTTAAGAGTGCGGTTACTGAGGGCTCTGGTGGGATTTGAATTCAATAAACGTCTGGACCACAGAGCCTTTGTCAATTGTCAGGAAAAACCCATCTGGTTCACTTATATCCTTTAGGGAAAGAAACTTCCATCCTTACCTGGCCTGGCCTACATGTGACTCCAGACCCACAGCAATGACTCTTAGCTGCCCTCTAGGTAATTAAGGATGGGCGATAATTGCTGGCCTAGCCAGTGATGCCCTCATCCTGTGAATTAATTTTTTTTTTTTAAAAAGTCCTAGGATCTAAGTGTGGTCACGGACCAATTGTAACGAGGCCTGTTTATTGACCTATGTGCATTACATACAGAGCATAAGTAGCTCAGGATTGGTCCTTCTGAATGCTGAGTGTCACATGACTTGATGGTCACTTCGTGTGATGTCATTCCAGTCACCTATTGACAGAAACTGGGTTGAATCCTGGGATACCATGGATGTGGGCTCAATCCCTCAAAGTAGACTCACTCCTTGAATACAGCATCAATGTGGGTCATAAGTCACCCCATGGTCTCTGGGTTGGAGAAAGTTTCTAACACAGAAGAAGGCTATTCAATCCCCCAGCTCATTCTGTTAAACCCCACTTTCCAGCTCTTGGTCCCCACCTCTTCAGAATGCAGCTTGTCAAATTTTATATCCAAAATACGATGAGGGTTTCAGTCTGCACCACTCTTTTCAGGCAGTGAGTCCCAGAGCTCCACCACCCTCCAGGGCAGGGCATCCAACTGGGATCGCAGAGCTGAAATTTTGGGGACCTGACCACTGAGGCAGTAATTCCTGTGCTGAAGTTCTGACTGACTGAGTGATAAGAACTGCACTCCCCAATCTAACAGGCCCTGCTTTCACAGGCACCCTCTCCTCTCCCCTCCCCGCTCTCACACTCCACTCCAAACGGCTGTGATAATTTCAAGCCACGATATAAGGTCGCGTTGGGGAAAGGTTTGGGAATCGACACTTTTGAGTGAAAACATTTCTCTCAAAAACCTTTCTAAATCTTTTGCTGATTAAATCAACAGGTTACTGCTCTTACATTCCTAGGCCTCAGTTAATCAAGGCAAGTAACTGGGTGCATTATTCACCACCTTGTCATTTTTTAAATTGTATCATGGGGTGTGTGTGTCGCTGGCTAAACCAGCATTTATTGCCTGCCCCTAGTTGCCCTTCAGATGGTGGTGGTGAGCTGCTTCCTTGAACTGTTGCAGTCTGTGTGGTACTTATCGTCCATGTTATGTTCAGGGGCCTGTGGACTGCTGTTCAACAGGTCATTGATTCCTCTACTCCTTATGGAATCCACACGGAAGTGGAATCAACTCCAGCCTTTGGGAATCAATCCTGAAGAAAGGATAATAGTGATGAGGGCTCTCAGGCTGACTCTGGGCCTCTTGCTGCATTGACCCAGATACAGGGCTTGGCACCCAGGGAACAAGGCCTCACTTGTTGGGATGATTTGCAAACCAGGACCCAATGAGAATTTCTACCATTTCAAACAAATATATACTAAAAAAAGCTCCTCAGAATGCTATAATGGATTTGACTTGTTTTTAGCAGGGCCCAAGCTTAAAGCAGTATGATGACTGGGGTCAAGCAACAAGGAGAGGTTCACCCTCACCACCCAACACACACAGGCACAGACACACACATTCTCACACACACAGGCAGACACACACACACACACACACACACAAGCACACATGGATACACATAGACTCAAGCACACACACACACTCACACACATACACACTCGTGTGTACACACAATCACACACATTCACATGCACACACACAGTCACACACACATATACTCACACGCACACACAAGACACATACACTGAAGCACACACAGACATACACATACACTCCCACAAACACATACTCACATAGACACAGTCACACTGTCACACAAAGAGACACATCATTCACACACATGCGCACACACACACACAGGCACAGATACACTCGCATGCACACACTCTCACACAAACAGACACAGAGAAAGACACACTCACTTACACACACACTCACTCGCACGCACACACACATACAAACTGACACAGACAGTGTCCTCCTCAAGTGACTGCTGCTTCACTTTAATGTTCACAGCACTGGGTCTGCATTACAAAAGTTTTTTTTCAAGAAGATGATGACCACAAGGAGGTTGGAGTATGGTTGGGTGTGTCAAAACAGGATGCTCTGTGGGTTTTTAGTGCAGCACTCAACAAGATCAGGAGCAGACTATCAAAGGCCAGGCACGGTGTATTGCAGAGTGAGCAATTAACACCTCGAGGCTTGGGGCTCACAGGTTATGAGCAAACCTCCCTGCCTGAAGGACTGTGAGGTTTTTCACACACATGTTTATATTTAGTTTAACATTCAATCAACTCTGCAGCAAAGAGCTCATTTCAATGATTCCCTCTCTCAAAATAGTGCAAGTCAATTGTCACGTTTGAAACAAGGATGGCTGGTCAGAAGTATTCTGGCTTCCCTGAAATGTGTCAGATTGTTCACCTGTCATTTCCAAAGGGGTTTCGAGAAAGGTCTTGATTTTATATGGCATCTTTCACAACCTCGGGCAATCTGACCACATTTCACAGGCAAATGGAGTGCTTTCAAAGCATAGTCGCTGCTGCAATTTGGGAAGCTGGGATGACAGAGTGTAGAGCTGGATGTACACAGCAGGCCAAGCAGCATCAGAGGAGCAGGAAGGCTAACGTTTCGGGCCTAGACCCTTCTTCAGAAATGGGGGAGGGGAAGGGGGTTCTGAAATAAATAGGGAGAGAGGGGGAGGCTAACCCTCTATCCATCTTCTATCTGCCTCCCCCTCGCATGTGTGTGAATGATGTGTCTCTTTGTGTGACAGTGTGATTGTGTGGAGCTGGCGGAACACAGCAGGTCAGAGGAGTTCCTCCAGCTGCACACTGTATTGACTCTGACTCCAGCACCTGCAGTTTTTGCTATCCCCGTATCTCCTGGCTGGGTGTGAATGAGTGATGGGGTTTAAATCGAGCCCGTTGTTTCAAAACTAAAACCTCACACCAGAGATCTGCAACAGGGTGCGCCACAACAGAAATTCCCTGCTCCACCAAGGCCTCACAACTTACCACGGTGCAGTTCCCCAGAGACCTCACCAAACTCGCTCCAGCAAGCATCAGGAGAGCTGTGAGAGTGAGCGACATCGACCAGATTCTGAGCTCCATTCTTACACCTACAAAGACACCAAAGGTTAGGGCTCAATTGACAACACAAACCATTTATCAAACAAATATCTGCTCCATTCAAACAATGTTAACTTGCATTGTCAGAATAGCTGTTCTGAGGGAGGGTCACATTGTCAGAGAGTCAGCGCTGAGGGAGCACCGGGCTGTCGGAGGGTCAGCGCTGAGGGAGCACCGGGCTGTCGGAGGGTCGGTGCTTGGGGAGCACCGCACTGTCAGAGGGTCAGGGCTGGGGGAGTGCCGGGCTGTCAAATCAATCTTTAAAATGCAACAAACAGGTGCAGAAAATAATCAAGAAGTCTCATGGCATGCTGGTCTTTATATCTAGACACTGGGGTGTGAGGATGCTGACATTATGCTGCTCCCTTACAAGCTCCCTGGGTAGATCTCACTTGGAGAACAGTGAACGGATCTGGACACCACAGCTTAGGAAGGATAGATTGGCTTTGGAGGGAAGATAACATAGGTTTCCAAGAATGATACCTGGATTTCAGGGATTACATTATGAGGAGAGATTAGACAAATTATGCCAGCTTTCTCTAAAATTTAGAATGTGCAGGGGTGATCTGATCAAACTCTTCAAGATATTAGGAGGAAAAAACAAGGGTAGATAATGATAAACTATATCCACTGGTTAGGAATTCTAGAACCAGGAAGCACAGTCTGAAAATTAGGGCCAGACCATTGAGGAGAGATGTTAGGAAGCACTTCTACACTGGAAGGGTGATGGATATTTGGAACTGTTCCACCAATGGCAGTGGGTGCTGGTTCAGTTTTTAAATGTAAACCTGAGATAAGTTTTCATTAAGGGAAGGTATTAAGAGATATGAGTCAAACGTAGGTGTATGGAGTGAATCTGCAGATCATGATCTCATTAAGTGGCAGAACAGGCTCAAGGGGCTGAAAGGCCTTCTCCCGTTCCTATGGGTCAGTACTGAGGAAGCTGTACATTGCCTGCTGCAGGAACGCTGCCAACATGAGACCCATACACCAGTATTACTGAGAGTAACGTTACCCCAACATCAGTGACTGCTAAAAGAAACTCGAGCTGAATGGTAACATTGCTCCTGTCTCATGGAGAGCTTTACCACACCATGACATTGCAAGTACCACAACAACCACATCACAACAACTGCATCATTATATCACCAGCATCAAGAGAGAGAGAGAGACGGGAGAGAGAGAGAGAGAGAGAGACCAGTTTAGGGTGCAATTCCACAGCAACCATGCTGAGATTTCATGATGGGAATATGTGATCCCATTGTGCTCGACATGGTTGATGCTGAATATCTACCACCAAAGAGAAGGGGACTTTCTCTGAGAGCGCACGCTCACTGGGCCTTAGTTATTGTGAGATCTGCCAATGGTCCACCTGAAACCCCGCTCACTGCCACAAACCCCACTCTGTCACCACAACCCGACCGAATGATACCCCAGAGAGCTGTGGTTAAGATAAGGCTACACCCTGGGGTGACATGCCCTATCTTGGGGGAGACATTGGGGATGATGGACTACTGTTGGACATCAGTGGTCTATGTGCAAAATGTAAGGTTATGGCAGTATTCTGCATCAATGTGCTTTTGTTCATTGGTCTTCCCACTGTCTCCCATCTCAATCATTACAGGAAAGATGTGGAAGCATTGGAAAAGGTGCAGAGGAGATTTACCAGCATGTTGCCTGGAATGGAGGGAAGGTCTTACGAGGAAAGGTTGAGAGAGCTAGGGCTTTTCTCTTTAGAACAACAAAGGATGAGAGATGACTTGATAGAGGTGTACAAAATGATCAGAGGTATAGATAGAGTGGACAGCCAGAGACTTTTTCCTAGGGTGGAGGTAGCTATTATGAGGGTGCATAGTTTTAAAGTGAGTGGAGGTAGATATAGGGGAGACATCAGAGGTAAGTTCTTTATTCAGAGAGTGGTCGGGGCGTGGAATGCATTGCCGGAGAGGGTAGTGGAGTCGGCCTCATTAGGGGCATTTAAGTGGCTATTAGATAGGCATAAGGATGATAGTATAAGGTAGGGGTGGAGGTTAGATAGACCTTAGGATTAGGGTAAAAGTTCAGCACAACATCATGGACCGAAGGGCCTGTACTGTGCTGTACTGTTCTATGTTCTACAATCCACCAGACTGGTTTCACACAGAGACTCATGCAGCCTATTTCTCTGGCTATCTTGCATTCAGCGACATCTCACAATCCAGCTGAGTGCATCTTTCCCATCCTGGAGCAGATTGGTAAATGTTATGCACTGTGGAAGCTGTAACACACTGTACACACTCACCAGAATGGGGCTGCTAGTACAGGCACCTGTCATACTCACCTCAGTGGTGATCTGCATTTTTTTAAAACCACATCCCAGCCTCCAATCAGAGATTATCAGATAAAAAAAAATCCACAACTGAACAGAATTCAGGATGACCCTTCAGTGTGATATTCTGGGAGTGCAGCACTGTTGGCACTGTCTCGTTTGGCCAAGACTAAGCACCCATAGAGTCCTGTGAAAAGTCGCAGTGTAGTTTTCATAGGAAAGCTCTCTCGTCTCACACATCACTGTCATTTAATGCTGTCAAAATCATAAAACTTATCATTTATTTCAAGGCTGTTGGTGGGATCTCACTGTGCAATGATCTACTGCCTGCCTATAGGATTTCAAATGTGGTTCTTTAGATGTGAAACACTCCCAAATCTGTGAAAGCAATGCTGAAAATGAAAAGACACGCTGTCCCTTTGAGGCATTAGCCCAGGTCGCACTGTCCCTCTAAGGTGTTAGCGCAGGGGGCGCTGTCACCTTAAGGTGTTAGCGCAG